ACCACACACACACACACAGATGATAATAGCCAGGCACTGGTGGCTCACACCTATAATCCTTGCTACTCAGGAGGCTAAGATCTGAGGATTATGGTTGGAAGCCAGCTCAAGAAGGATCACAGACTCTAATCTCCAATTAACTACCAAAAAGCTGGAAGTAGAGCTGTGGCTGAAGTGGTAGAGCACTAGCGTTGAGCACAAAAGCTCAGGGATAATGCTAAGGCCAAGTACAAACTCCGTGAGCAGCAAACCAAAACAAAACAAAATGATACTAGCTTATCATGTATTTTTACTTACACAATACTTGAGATCAGAGATGTTTACATTGACCCCAGTCGATCTCTTTAGATTCTCATCATGTGACACTACAACTTGTTCATCTTTTGTGATATGGCAGTCCAGTTCTAGCATATCAGTTCCAATTGTAACTGCACTAAGAAACAGAGAATGACATTCTGAAACATAAGTATATTATTACATCTGATACATGTAATAATTCAGTAATAAATCCAAAATATTCCATAATACTGAAATAGCTCCTCAAAACACCATTTGTCATGACTTCTTTCTTTTTTTTTTGGCCGGTAGTGAGGCCTGAACTCTGGGCCTGGGCACTGTCCCTGAGCTCTTCAACTCAAGGCTAGCGCTCTACCAATTGAGGCACAGCACTACTTCCGGCTTTTTCTGCTTATGTGGTGCTAAGTATTCGAACCCAGGGCCTTATGCATACTAGGCAAACACTCTACCACTGAGCCACCTTCCCAGCCCTGTCATGACTTCTTGATGGAAAAAAAATGTCCTAAGTAATCTTATGATAAGTGAATCATATTGCCTCCTTTTTTTTTTTTTCCTCTTGCTGGTCCTGGGCTTGAACTGCAGGCCTGGGCACTGTCCCTGAGCTTCTTTTGCTCAAGGCTAGCACTGTACCACCTGAGTCATAGTGCTACCTCCAGCTTTTTCTCTGTGTGTGGTACTGAGGAATCAGACCCACGGCTTCATGCATGCTAGGCCAGCACTATCCCATTAAGCCACATTCCCAGCTCAATACTGACTCTTTTTTTTTTTTTTTTTGGGTCCAGTTGTGGGGCCTGAACTCTGGGCCTGGGCACTGTCCCTCAGCTCTTCAGCTCAAGGCTAGCCTCTACCACTTGAGCCACAGAGCCACTTCCGGCTTTTTTCTTTTTGCTTATGTGGTGCTGAGGAATCGAACCCAGGGCCTCAGGCATGCAAGGCAAGCGCTCTACCACTGAGCCACCTTCCCAGCTCCTCAATACTGACTCTTTTCCAACAACCAGCTATCTTTAATTCTAGCAATCCAATATAAACAGTAAGAATACTAATACAGAAATTATTCGGATGCCAGTTACTGATATGCTGTGTTATATACCTCTTAGCATGATAAAACAAAACTTTTTCTTTTTGGTCGGTCATGGGGCTTGAAGTTGGCCTGGGCACTGTCCCTCAGCAATTCAGCTCAAGGCTAGCGCTCTACTACTTGAGCCACTGTGCCATTTCCAGTTTTCTGAGTGGTTTATTGGAGATAAGAGTCCCACAGAAGTCCTTGCCTGGACTGGCTTTGAACCGGATCCTCAGATCTCAGCCTCCTGAGTAGTTAGGATTACAGGCGTGAGTCACTGGCACCCAGCTACAAAACTTTTCAAAATAGAAAATAAATGACACCATTAGACCAGATACTCTGTAAAGTTCCTTTTACTTACAAGATCTGATAAAGACTGGGCACCAATGGCTCACCCTGTAATCCTAGCTACTCACTAGGTTGAAGCTGAGATCTGAGGCTCACAGCTTGAAGCCAGCCTGGAAAAGAAAGTCTTATCACTAATTAACTACCAAAAAGCCAGAAGTGGAACTGTGGCTCAAGTGATAGAGTGCCAGCTTTCAGCAAAAAAGCTAAGGAACAGTACTTAGGCCTTGAGTTCAAGCCCAAGTACTGACCACAAAAAAACAAAATCATGACTACTAACAGGGTGTACTTGAGAGCACAGTGAGTGGAGCCTCTGCCATTTCCTCGGGTGAGTGATTTAGCTTATGACTCTACCTTATCCACAAGCTGTGATAGTACTAGCTCTGCACATCTCTCACTCATACTGTATACTCCAAGAAGTGGCATACTTCATTGTTATATCTCCTTCTTTCTCAAATGTCCTTCAAATAAATATACAACAAAATTATAAAAAAATAAATAAACTGAACAGGACAGACAACTCACAAGTAAAGATTTCCAGGGCTGGGAAGGTGGCTCAGTGGTAGAGCGCTTGCCTTGCATGCCTGAGGCCCTGGGTTCGATTCCTCAGTACCACATAAGCAGAAAAAAAAGCCAGAAGTGGTGCTGTGTGCTAGCCTTGAGCTGAAGAGCTGAGGGACAGCGCCCAGGCCGAGTTCACGCCCACGACCGGACCCCCCCCCCTAAAAAAAAACAGATTTCCAAGTGGCTATAAAATGTATAAATAGAAGTTCAGCATCAGAGCTCACGAGGGAAATATAAACCATAACACTGAGTGTCAGCAACTAGACCTCACAAATTGCTAGAGCAAGTATAAACTGGTAAAATATCTTTTTGCTGGCACCAGTGGCTCACTCCTATAATCCTAGCTACTCAGGAGGCTGAGATATGAGGATCGCAGTTCAAAGCCAGCCCAGGCAGAAAAGTCCAGGCAACTCTTTTTTTTTGGGGGGGGGATCCGATTGTGGGGCCTGAACTCTGGGCCTGGATACTGTCCCTCAGCTCTTCAGCTCAAGTCTAGAGCTCTACCACTTGAGCCACAGCGCCACTTCTGGCTTTTTTCTTTTTTGCTTATGTGGTGCTGAGGAATCCAACCCACGGCCTCATGCATGCAAGGCAAGCGCTCTACCACTGAGCCACCTTCCCAGCTGCTCCAGGAGACTCTTATCTCCAATTAACCACCAAAACACCAGAAGTAGGCTATGGCTCAAGTATTAGAGAGAGCTGAAGAGCTCAGGGAAGCACCCAGGCACAGAGTTCAAGACCTGCCTTCTCTGTCCTCTCTCTGTCATACACATACACACACACACACATACACACACACACACAAAACATATATGCATCTTTTCAAATTACTTAATTAATTTACTTAATAGTGCCAAGTTCAGAAAGCACTATACATTCCCAGTCTTTGGTATAATCATTTTAAAAGGAATAACACATGCTTACCCTGTAACTCAGCAATCCCACCTTTCCTTAAGTGTATGTCAGGAGAAATGAGTATGTTTCATAAAACATGTATGAAACTATTTCATGTAATATCATACATAAACTTTACAGATATAAATTGAAAGAGAGGCCAGAAATGTGTATAAATACTGTGTAATTACATTTATACTACCAGACACGGGCTTTTAAATTTTTTCACAAATAATACTATGTGCTTTTTTTTGACTGGAAGACCAGATATGGTTTTTTGTTGTTGTTGTTTGGTGGGTTGTGGGGCTTGAACTCTAGGCCTGGGTGCGGTCCCTGAGCTCTTCAGCTCAAGCTAGCGCTCTTCCACTTGAACCACAGCACTACTTCTGGTTTTCTGGTAGTTTACTGGAGATAAGAGTCTCATGGAATTACCAGCATCCGGTGGCTCATGTCTATAATCCCAGCTACCCAGGAGGCTCTGGGAGATAAGAGTCCAGCAGACTCTTATCTCCAACAAACCACTAGAAAACCAAAGTGGCACTGTGGCTCAAGTGGTAGAGCATTAGCCTTGAGCTGAAGAACATGGGGACAGTGCCCAGGCACTGTCCAGGTTGGCTTTGAACAGGGATCCTCAGAACCCAGCCTCCTGAGTAGTTAGGATTACAGGAGTGAGCCACTGCACCTGGCACTTCCAGTTTTCTGGTGGTTAACTGGAGATGAGACTCAGACTTTCCTGCCTGGGCTGGCTCTGAACCACAATCTTCAGATCTCAGCCTCATGAGTAGCTGGGATTATAGACATGAGCCACCAAAGCCCAGTTGTTGATTATATTGTTTCTATTTCACAGATGAGAAACTTAGTATCAAAGTAATTACTCTAGTTTGTGGGAATATAAGTTTAAACTTGTTCAACTACTCTGGAAAGCAGTATGGAGGATCCTCAAAAAAACTAAAAAATAGGGCTGGGATGTAGCTTACTGCAAAGCACTTGCCTAACAAGTGCAATATCCTGGGTTCAATCCCCAGTAACCACTCCCCCCCAAAACAATGCAGTTAAAAAAATAAGTAAACATAGAACTACCCTATGATCCAGCAATCCCACTCCTGGGCATATACCCATAGAACACAAACAAGGTTACAGTAAAGCCACCAGCACAATCATGTTTGTTGCAGTACTACTCTTTTTTTGTTTGTTTGCAATACTATTTCAAGTGCTGCAATGGAATCAGCCCAGATGGCCCTCAATGGATGAATGATCAAGAAGATGTGGTAAATATACACAACAGATTTTACTCATCTGTTAGGAACAATGATATTGTACCATTATAAGGAAAAAGATCTGATTAAGTGAAGTAAGACAGACCAAGAGAAACAAAGGTTGCATGCTTTCCCTCATTTGTGGTGGATAGAATATATCTATAATTCTTTTGTTTTTCTGGTTGGTGTGGGGCTGAATTCTGGGCCTGGGCCAGCTCTTCAGCTCAAGGCTAGGGCCCTACCACTTGAGCTACAATGACACTTCCAGTTTTTTTGCTTATGTAGTGCTGAGGAATCGAACCCAGGGCCTCATGCATGCGAGGCAAGCACTCTACCACTGAGCCAACTCCCCAGCCCTGTACCTATACTTCTATAAGCAACAAGTTGGGTGGTATGCAAATGCTTACAAATGAATTAACTGAAATACAATAGACTCTACAGAGAGCTTAAATAGTATTTTTTTTTTTTTTGGTAGGTTGTGGGGCTTGAACTCTGGGCCTAAGTGCTGTCCCTCAGCTCTTCAGCTCAAGGCTAGCACTCTATCACGTGAGCCACAGCGACACTTCGGGTTTTCTGAGTGGTTTATTGGAGTTAAGAGTCTCACAAAGTTTCCTGCCTGGACTGGTTTTGAACCGTGATCCTCAGATCTCAGCCTCCTGAGTAGCGAGGATTACAGGCATGAGCCACCAGTGACAGGCCAAATAGTATAGTCTTTGAGAAAGACTAAATCAAAGTCCAAGAAAATCAACTTGAGGAAATGGGTATGTCAAAGAGAAGAGTTGGGCCAAGTGGAGAGGGGTAGAGGAATGAAGGGAGGACATGGGGAAGAATGTAATCAAGAATCCATTGTATATATCACAAAATTAAGAAAAGGGAGAGGAAAAAAAAAACTCTTGTCATATTCATAACATGAAGGAAGAAAACAAAATTCCTTGATTTATGGAGTTGCCATTACCTACATAACGCTGGCTTCAAAGTGCTCAGGAATCTCAGTCCAATCTGAGTAACATAATAAGATCCTCTCTCTCTTTAATTTGTTATACTGGGGATTGAGCCCAGGCCCTGATAGGCAAAATGTTCTATCAAGTGAGCCAAGCTCCCAATCCTTTTGTATTTTGTTTGTTTTCAAGGTATAGGTAATCTAGTTAACTTTGCCCACACTGGATGGCTTCAAACTCATGATCCTCTTGCCTTCACTTCCTGAACTGGGATTATAGGTATAAACCACCATCCTGGGTAAGACTTCCATCTCTAAAAAATAAAAGGCTCAAAGTTATGAGAAAATATTTTGTTTACTAAGTATGAACAGGCAATGTTTTCCACTGGGTTTTTTCATATTCTCTGTTTTGTTTTTCAGACTAATGATAATCATTGACTCTAAGACAAAGAGCAATGATATGAATCAACTTTCACTCCTGTTTCTCCTGTGGCTTTTCAGCACAGTGCTTTAAAAGACATTTATACAAAACATTAATCAATTATAAATAGAAAAAATAGCTTAGCTTATTAAAAATCAGAATGACACTCATGAAGATTGCAAGAAGAAAATAGGAGTGCAAGTTCAGATCTGTACAAAAATTACCGAGTACAAAGACACACAATCCTATTCATAAATAGCAGCCAGTGTAGCAGATGTTTCATTTTCTCTTTCTCTCCAAGACTAATTAGCATTATGCACAGTATGTCCCTTGTTACTGATGTCTTCTTTCAGCTTTGGAAATCAAAACTCTGATCTAGTTTCTCCATAACAGGAGCTCTATGTACACTCTATGTAACACTTCAAACTAACTAAATTAAAAAAGCAATTTTTAGTGTGTGTTTGTGTTTGTGTATGTGTGTGTGTGTGTGTATACTGGTCCTGGAACTTGGGGCCTGGGAACTGTCCCTAAGCTTCTTAGCTCAAAGCTAGCACTCTACCACTTGTGCCACAGCTCTGTTTATGGTTTTTGATGATCAAATGGAGATAAGTGTTTCATGGACTTTCCTGCCCAGACTGGCTTCAATCCACAATCCTCAGATCTCAGCCTCCTGAGATCTCACACCTCCAAGTGTGAGCCATTGGCTCCTGCAGGAAATTCTACTACTGTAACACAGAAAACTAAGTTAGAAAACTTTCTAACCTCTTCTTTTTTTTGGGGGGGGGGTCCGGTCATGGAGCCTGAACTCTGGGCCTGGGCACTGTCCCTCAGCTCTTCAGCTCAAAGCTAGTGCTCTACCACTTGAGCCACAGTGGTGGTGCTGAGGAATGGAACCCAGGGCCTTGAGCATGCAAGGCAAGCGCTCTACCACTGAGCCACATTCCCAGCCCTCTAACCTCTTCTTTCTTAAAGATTTGTCAAATGTTCTGGTTTTAATACACCAAACAGATTCATGCAATCTCAAGTCATATTAAATAGCTCTATTAGGTGAGTATTCACCTGTCTGGGCTGGCTTTGAACTGTGATCCTAAGATTTCAGCCTCCTGAGCAGCAAGGATTACAGGCAGAAGGAACCAGCTCCCAGATAAAATATTAATTTTATAGACATAACTATTATTAGTATGTGAATACTATCTCTACTCTATGAACCATCATTTGAATGAATAATTTTAAGAGAAAGTTAATTTCTTATAGACTTACTGCTCAAAGGCTGCCATTGTATTCTCCAAATTCTCCCCAGCACCTATGAAAACATAAAATTTGAAAAATTTATTTAGCCATTTTGAAATTGGTCTTAATAAGATAATGAATCCTGATACTTATTATGTAGATATATACTCACAAATATATACATACATATTCATACCTCGGGATACACAATATACACATAGACAAATACTCATATGTATGTATGTATACCTAGAGAAAAAAACTATCTCAAGAAGAGCAAGGTAATACTTGCCTGTTATCCCAGCACTTAGTAGCTAAAGCAAGAAGATCATGAGTTCAATGGCAGCCTGGGCTATAATGAGATTGTATTCCACCCTACTCCCCAAATTGGCTAAAGTCACACAGCTAGAAAGGGGAGACAGAATTCAAGCACAAGAAATATGATTTCAGAGTCCATCCTTTTTACTACTATTGTGCTTTAACTTTTATGCTAAAATTTAGACAGCCTTTTTATTTCAACTTTATTTCAACATATGATTCATAGTGGTCTCTATTTCCATTTTCTATTTACTTACTTGCAAATTACTCAGACATATGGTAAAAACCTGAAGAGTAACTAAGGGACTAATTAAGAAGTATAACATTCCTCTCCAAGGAATTATTTAATGGTAGGTCCCTCATGAAATGGTTTATTAAGTCCTTTTCTTTCTATTAATGATTGCATAATTCATAAAAACAGGCTTGATCATTAATGTTTTCGTTTCAATAAGCAACTTACACAATTTCTGGCTCTGCAAATAATAATTTCACATACATTTTAATTAGTATGAAATATGGAAGACAACTAGTACCAAACAGAATTGCATGCATTTTCCTTTTTTATTTTTAAAGCTAATCCTGGGGCTTGAACTCAGGACTTAGGTACTGTCCCTGAGCCTCTCTGTGCTCAAGGTTAACACTCTACACTTGAGCCACAGCGCCACTTTTGGCTTTTTCTGAGTATGTGGTACTGAGGAATCAAACCCAGGGCTTCATACATACACAGATATATGTGTGTGTGTGTGTGTGTATGTATATATATATATATATATATATATATATATGATCTTGTTAACTATTTTTCTGGGCTACTCTTAAAACGCAGTCCTCTCAGACAGTGGCTCACATATGTAATACTAGCTACTCAGGAGGCTGAGATCTGAGGATCATGGTTCAAAGCCAGCCTGGGAAGGAAAATCCATGAAATTTTTTTTTTTTTTTGGTCAGTCGTGGGGCCTGAACTCTGGGCCTGGGAGCTATTCCTCAGCTCTTCCTCTTCAGCTCAAGGCTAGTGCTCTACCACTTGAACCACAGCACCCACTTCCAGCTTTTTCTGCTTATATGGTGTTGAGGAATCGAACCCAGGGCCTCATGCATGCAAAGCGAGCACTCTACCACTGAGCCACCTTCCCAGCCCCATGAAATTCTTCTCTAATAAACTACTCAGAAAAAGCCAAAAGTGGAAGTGGAGCTGTAGCTCAAGTGGTAGAGCGCTCGCCTTGAACTGAAGAGCTGAGGGACAGCGCCCAGGCCCAGAGTTCAAGCCCCATGGCCAACAAAAATAAAGAAAAAGCCAAAAGTAGTGCTGTGGCTCAAGTGATAAGAGTGCTAGCTTTGAGCACAAAGAGGCTCAGAGGCTGTACCCTGCAATTTCCTGCTGCAATTATGTGTGTGTGTGTGTGTGTGAGTATGGGGAGACGTGAGTTTTTATATACAGATATAAAGATTAAACTTATCAATTTAGTTACTTTGCAATAAATCAACTTTCTGTGAAAAATGGCCGTGAAGCAGGGCACTAGTGGCACTCAAAAAAGCCAGAAGTGGAGCTATGGTTCAAATGGAAGAGTGCTAGCCTTGAGGACAAAACCTCACAGACAACACTCAGGCCTGAGCAAACCCCAGGAGGGCCACACACACACACACACACACAATGTCAGTGAATCACAGGGAGATCATTTGAAACCCAAGAATCATAGAAAGCTAGACAGCTAAAGCTGGGTGCCAGTGGCTCACATCTGTAGTCCTAGCTACTCAGGAGGCTGAGATCTGAGGATCATGGTTCAAAGCCAGCCCAGGCTAGTTGTGAGACCTGAACTCTGGGCCTGGGCACTGTCCCTCAGCTCTTCAGCTCAAGGCTAGTGCTCTACCACTTGAGCCCCAGCCCCAGCTCTGGCTTTTTTTCTGGGTATGTGGTGCTGAGGAATTGAACCCAGGGCCTCATGCATGCGAGGCAAGCACTCTACCACTGAGCTACCTTCCCAGCCCTGTGAGACTCTTATCTCCAATAAACCAGAAAACAGGATGTGAAACTGTGGCTCAAGTGGTAGAGCTCTAGCCTTGAGCTGAAGGGCTGAGGGACAGTGTCCAGGCCCAGAGTTCAGCTGTATGACCCACAAAAAAAAAAAAAGAGGGATCTTTTTGTGTGTGTGCGTGTGGGCTTAAACTCACAACATCAAAAAAAGCACAGGGAAGGTACCCATCCCCTGAGTCGAACCCCCAGTACTGGCATGTATGTGTATGTGTGTGTGTGTGTGTGAGAGAGAGAGAGAGAGAGAGAGAGTGTGCACACATACACACACACAAAAGTGCACTTTAGTTTACTAAAGTTTGCTTTATTAAGTTAAATAGTATTATTAAATGAAAGCTAACTCACTCTGTTGCAACCAAGCCATCAGAAGGAATGAACAAGCCTGGTGGGAAAAAGTCCTCACTAAAAAGTGAAGAAGAGTTCCCTGATAGAGGAATGAAGGAACAAAGCTGAAATGAAAACAAAACTCAAGGTACAACTGCAGAATGCTACTTCTTCTGGGACTTTGGAAACTCAACTTGATGCTTAAGATTGTTTTCTTCCACAGACAATTAAATTTTGGGGCCAATGTGCAAGAGCAACCCTTACATGCCAATGGAATCTACAGCAAGATAATCAGATTGTTACAGCCTCCTACCTTGAGGACAAGGATAAAAGTTACAAGGGAGAGAGTGGATTCGATCAGTTACCATTTTTTATTGTTTGGCCAATCAGCCCCAATGAACAGAATACTTTCTTTTTAAAAATAATTTTTAGGGGCTGGGAAGATGGCTCAGTGGTAGAGCGCTTGCCTTGCATGCAGGAGGCCCTGGGTTTGATTCCTCAGCACCACATAAGCAAAAAGAAAAAAACCGGAAGTGGTGCTGTGGCTCAAGTGGTAGAGTGCTAGCCTTGAGCTGAAGAGCTGAGGGACAGTGTCCAGGCCCAGAGTTCAGGCCCCACGACCGGACCCAAAAAATAATAATAATAAAAATATTTTTTATTATCTTTAAGTGACAACATTGTCACCCATTGCTCCTAACCCATCCCTTCTCTCACTTTTTTTTATTGAGATTAGGTGATTACATAAATTTCACATATTTCACAGTACTGTGGAATAGTGATACTTAAAGTCACACATTTTAACCTTCACAAGGCAAATTGTCATTCTCATGGTCTATAAAGTTTGTGAACAAATAGAATACTTTCTTAAAAGCCCATTATTTAATTCAATTGGCTCAAAGACTCAGAAAGGTGCGGTTACATTCTTTCCCTTGCTATCTTTATCCTTATCCTGACTCCATGGGTATCTTTAATAAATGTATCACTCACAAATGATTCTAAATGTAGGAAAATGTGTCATTAGAGGTTACATTTCAAAATATTAGCAGAGACAATATAGATAATTGGTAATTAGCTATTATTATTTTGTTGTTAGTGATGGTGGTCATGGGCTTGAACTCTTGGCCTGGGTGCTGTCTAATACTGCTACCAAGAATCCTTTCAGCAGCCATTTCCAAAAGAAACCGATCTTTGTTTTCTTTAAATAATACTGTTCTATTATACTCTCTCTTTCTCTCACACACACACATACACATACACGGGTTGGGGGGGAGAGAGAGAAGGAGTGTTTGGGGGCGGGTATGTGGCTTAGAGGTAGAGTGGGTTGCCTAGCATGCATGAGGTCTTGATTCATTCCTCAGTACCACATCAACAGAAAATGCTAGAAATGGCACTGTGGCTCAAGTGGTAGAGTGCTAGTCTTGAGCTAAAAGAAGCTCAGGGACAGTGCCTAGGCAGAGGCCCTGACTTTCAAGCCCCAGAACTGGGAGATACAGATTATAGATACAGTCTTTTGGAAATCCACTGTGATTGCTGGAATACATAATAGTACTAAAAAAAACCAACTAAGCCAAACAAACAAACAAAAGCAACAACAACGGGGGGGGGGGAGAGGAGAAACAGGTGCAAGGTTTGGAGCCCCTAGAACAGGGCCTTCCAGTTCCATCCCAGTTCCACCCAAGCGCTAATTGTGGCTTTGGGTAAGCCTATGCCCAGCTTGGAGGATTCCATTTCCTCTCTCTTCTTAATTATTGGGGGTGAAGGACTGTCACCCTGCAGGCATCATCATGCTCTAGGTACCCTCAGATCAGTTCACCGGGCCTGCTAGGGGGCACCGGCTGGTTTCCGAGCCGTCGGTTCCCACCCTCCCCACTACCCCCACCCCACCTCCGACCCGGGGTATCCGGGGCTGGACCCTGGCTGCCAGAAAAGGGTCCTTAGCCATCATCCTTCCAGACGCCAGAACCCCCGCACACACCCCCACCTACCGTTTCATGTCCGTCCTGACTTCCTCCCTC